GCCATGGGAACCCTAACCCTAGGTCAGAGAGTCCGAAACACAAGAACCCTAATCGTAGGGAGGGGAGCCCTAGCCAGAGAAACCCTAACCCTAGCCTGGAGAGCCCAAACCGTAGGAACCCTAACACTATAGTGGGGACCCCTACTCACAGGAATCCGAATCCTAGTGTGGGAAGCCATATCCATAGGAACCCTAACCCAAACTCCAAGTGGCCTATCCATAGGAACCCTAACCCTAGGTCAGGGAGCCATACCCACAACGGGTATGGCTCCCCACCCTAGTTTTAGCATTCTTTTCTGTAGGGATCCCAGTCCTTGGGTTAGGGTTCCTATGGGTACGGTTCCCCAGTTTAGGGTTAGGGTATCTATGGATCGGTCACTTGGAGTTAGGATTACAGTTCCTATGAGGAGGCTACTTGGAGTTAGTGGTAGAGTTCCTATGGGTTGAGCTCCCCTCCGTATGATTAGGGTTGGTATGGGTTGGGCTCCCTGCCTAGGATTTAAAGGGCTCTCCACCCCAGGGTTAGGGTTTATATGGGTAGGGCTCCCTGCCCTAGGGTTAGGGTACCTATGGGTAGGCCACTTGGCGTTAGGGTTCGGGTTCATATGTGTAAGCCACCCCAGAGCTAGGGTAGCGCTGGTGGCATTTTACAATGCTGAGAATAAGGTTCCTATCTTTAATTTCATGGCCTCCTTCGCCACAAAGAAGATCTTTCTTTACTTTGCAGTGTAGGGTCCCAGAGACAAGCTGAGGCTGGCTCCCCAGATCCAGAGTAACCTGTGGCCAGCACTCCGTACACCAGCATGTATTTAGCCCCATCAGGGCCGGATCTAGGTTTTTTGCCGCCCCAAGCAAAAAAAATGTTGGCTGCCCCCCGTCCCAGCCCTGGGCTCCTCGCCGCACCTCCCTGCCTCCCCAGCCCTGGGCTCTCACCCCTCTAACCCCACCCCCCTGCCGCCCCAGCCCTGGGCTCTCACCTCCCTCACCCGCACCTCCTTGCTGCCCTAGCCCTCGGCTCTCCCCCACACACACCCTGCTGCCCCAGCTCTGGGTTCCTCCTACCCCCCCACCATTGCCCCACCCACCCACACCACACACACACACACACACACACACCCCTCCTGCTGCCCCAGCCCTGGGATCACCCACTTCACCTGCACCCTCCTTCCGCCGCAGACCTGGGTCACTGGTAACTTGTTCCCACGGCAGGTCA